TCTCCCTGGATCCTTCCCTTCTCCAGCCTGGCCATTCCCAGCTCTCCCAGCCTGGAGCCAGAGCCTGACATTGGATCCATCCCCAGCCCAACTCCTCTCTGGGAAGGAGTTCCGGGAACAAGGGGGGGTTCCCTGGGAATCTCGGCACTCAGGGAAGGGGCTCCCTTCCCCTTTCCCGCCTTTTCCATCTCCAGATTCCATAAAAATCCCTCTGAGTGGATTCTGAGTGGCCTTTATCCTGGAATCATGGAATGGGTTGGGTTGGAAGGGGCATTAAATCCCATCCCATTCCTTGCCTGGGGACTCCTCCTGCTGTCCCAGGGGATCCAGCCCGGCCTGGGACACTGCAGGGATCATCCAGGGGCAGCCACAGCTTCCCTGGGAATTCCAGCCCAGCCGGGAATCCCTTCCCAATCTCCCCCCCAAATCTCCCCTTTTCCATTCCCCGTGTCCTGTCCCTCCATCCCGTGTCCCCAGTCCCTCTCCAGCTCTCCCAGAGCTCCTTCAGGCTTTGGAAAGGGCTGTAAAGTCTTTCCCAGCCCGAATCCGGCCCTTGGAGCACCAGAAATCCATGGATTGTTCCATCACCTCTTTGGTTTCCCTCCCCTCCCTCTCCCACCCCTGGAGAACCCTTCACTGTGGGGTTGGTTTTCCCCCTTTCCCGCTGAATTCCCACAGGCTGGAATTCCACACCCTCGCTCTCCTCGGGTTTAGGGATGGGATTCCTTTAGGGAAAGGATTCCATGGGCATCTGGCTGCTTGATTTTCCCTGGGAAAGGCAACGCTCGGGCAGCCTTGGGAATGTTCCTTCCAGGGATTTGCTCTTGGGGGTTTTTTTTTGTGAAGCTGCTTTTCCAGGAGGGGGAGCTCGAGGAATTCCCTGGATATGGGAGAAAAGAGGCGGATCCGGTGCCTGCCTGGGATAACTGGGATGCAGTGGGAGCAGGAGAGCTGTGGATAACTCCCCTAATTATGGGAATAACCTCCTTTAATTTAACATTCCCTCCCAGGGGCGTCTCATCCTTGAATATCTTTAAATTCCCATTGTTTATGAAGTCATTCATCAGTTAAACAGCTTTTGGGGGGGGGGGCTTTTTTGCTGCTGATTTGGGGACTTTTAAGAAAAACACTCCAAGAAAAGGGCTGGGACAGGAGAAATTTGGGGAATCTGCTGGATTTGGGAAGTTTTGGGAAGCAGGGCCAGGCAGAGGAGTTAATTCCAGGGCCGGGATGTGCTGGGATAAGTAGAACTGCTGAGGGGGGGA